GTGCTTTGGGAGGAACGGTTGGAGAAAGGGCTGGAGGGAGGCAGCATGTCTTGCCTTGTAGGAATAAGCCTTGGGTTACTGCTGGTAATACTGTCTTCCTCTTGTAGGATTAGAGGAGGTCAGAAGATGTGGCCTCCTTGCCGTTTTTTCACCACCAAAAGGTGACCTTGGCAGAGGAGGACTTTTAATAATCAAGTGGATAGGATGACATGTTCTGTGGAAACCAGTCATCCTTTTTCCCCAGCTTCTGTCATTGCCCAATGGGCTCATGAACAAAGTGGCCATGGTGGCAGGGATGGAGGTTATGCATGGGCTCAGCAACATGGACTTCCACTTACCAAGGCTGATTTGGCTACCACCACTAGTGAGAGCCCAGTCTGCCAGCAGCAGAGACCAACACTGAGTCCGTGATATGAACCATTCCTTGGGATGATCAGCCAGCACCGTGGTGGCAAGTTGATTACATTGGACCACTTCCATCATGGAAAGGACAGTGTTTTGTTTCTACTGGAATAGATACTTATTCTGGATATGGATTTGCCTTCCCTGCACACAATGCTTCTGAGAAAACTACCATCCGTGGACTTACAGAATGCCTTATCCTCTGTCATGGGATCCCATACAGCGTTGCTTTGGATCAAGGGACTCAGTTCACAGGAAATGAAGTGCAGCAGTGGGCCCATGCTCATGGTATTCACTGGTCTTACCATGTTCTTTTAAGAGCTCTGGTGGCATAGTGCCTAAGACATTTGATTGCTAACCAGAAGGCTGGCATTTCAAACCCACCAGCCACTCCTTGAAAGAAAGGTTGGGCAATCTACTTCCATAGTGATACTGTCTCGGAAACCCAATGAAAGGTTGCTGTGAGTCGGATCTGACTCGACAGCAGTGGGACACCATGTTCTCCATTATCCTGAAGCAGCTAGCTTGATAGAATAATGGAATGACCTACTAAAAACACAATTATAGGACCTACTAGGTGGCAATACCTTGAAGGGTTGGGGCAGTGTCATCCAGGAGGCTGTATATGCTCTAAACCAGTGTCCATTGTATGGTGCTGTTTCTCCAATAGCCAGGATTCATGGGTCCAGGAACCAAAGGGTAGAAATGGGAGTGGTACCACTTACTATTACCTCTAGTGACCCATTCAAAAAAGTTTTGTTTCCTATCCCTGCTACCCTGTGCTCTGCGAGACTGGAGGGCTTAGTCCCAAAGAGAGGAACATTCCCACCTGGAGACACAATACTGATTGCATTGAACTGGAAGTTAAGAATGAACCTCACCATTTTGGCTTCCTCATGCCCCTGGATCAACAAACAAACAAAGGAGTTACTATACTGTGACAGATCCTGAGTACCAAGGGGAAATTGGATTGATATTACATAATAGAGGAAAGGAGAATATGTCTGGAATACAGGAGATTCTTTAGAACGTCTTTTAGTACTACCATGCCTTGTGATTAAAGTCAGTGGAAAACTACAGCAACCAATTCTGATATGACTACTAATGGCCCAGACCTTCAGGAATGAAGGTTTGGGTCCCCCCACCAGGGAAAGAACCATGACCAGCTGAGGTGCTTGCTGAGGGCAAGGGAAATACAGAATGGGTGGTGTAAGTACATAGTTCTGAGTATCAGCTATGACCACGTGACCAGTTGCAGAAACGAGGATTGTGATTTTTATATTTCTTCATTATATGTGTGCATCAAATATTTTTGTTTTCTTCAGTTATGAACTATATAAAATGTATACAGGGTTAATGCATTTTTGGTTGTATGTGTGTTAATGTATCATGTTAGGCACAAATATGACTTTATAATTTTTCTTATTTAGAGATTATACATGGTTAAGAAGACGTGTACAACTGCCAAGTTGACAACAGGCGGACTGTGATAGTTGGGGTTGTGTGTCAACTTGGCTGGACCACAATTCTGAGTGATTTAAGCAGTTGTAATGTCAGTTATTCCCGTGATGGGATCAGATATATATGTTTTGAGCAGCCAATCCATTGAAAGGGAGTTTCCTTTGGGGTGTGGCCTTCTTCCAATATGTTTATGGACATCTTGGGAAAAGAGACACTCTTCTGTGGATTGGGATCCTGTTGTGTTGTCTGTGAGTGAACTGTCCACCATCCTGCCTGGTGATCTTGGATTCATCATCTGCTGAAGTTAATAGCCAGTATACTGCCTGCCAGCCTTAAGCTTGTCAGCCCCTGCAGCTGCTTGAGTTGGGAAAGGCTCTAGTTTGACGTTTGACCCAGGAACTTGGAACTTGTCACCTTCTATAAGTGTGTGAGCCATTTTCCTAAGATAAATTTCTCTCTCTCTGTAAGCTTTACTGGTTTTGCTTCTCTAGAAAACCCAGCCTAACACGTTGCAGAATCTAATGTAATTTTACTAAAATTACATTAACTTAACGTGTTAAGTTGCTTTACATTACTTTGTCTTAATTTAGAAAATAATTATACTTTTTCAAAGGATAATTTAAATTTATTATAAAAGCAGTATTTTTTTATATTTGGCTTTTTGTATATTCACAAACTAAGTTTTTCTTTTGGAATATTATAAATTCTATAAACAACTATAGATTTTTCTTGAGGAAATGGTCAAATTTAAATTATTCATTTTAGCATATTCAAGAGCATTCTTAAAAGTAGGCTATTGTCTTAGGCTGGGTTCTCCAGAGAAACAAAACCAATGAAGCTTATGTATATATATGTATATATGTGTATACACACACAGAAATACATACATACATACATACATATAAATATATTTCAAGGAAACAGCTCATGAATTTGTAGAGCCTGGCAAGTCCCAAGTCTATGGGTCAGATGTCAGATTTGGAGACTTCTCCTGACTCATGTTGCTGCAGGGGTGACGTATCCAAGATCAGCAAGTTAGATGGCGAGTGGCTGGGTAGTGGGCTGTGGAGGTTGATGAACCCACAATTGGCAAGTAAGAGGACTGGCTTCTGGCTCACAGGCTGTGGAGGCTAAAAAAGTCCTCAGATCGACAGGCAATATGGCAAGCCACTGACTGGCTCAAGTCTTAAGAACTGAAGGTCAGATGTTGATAAGCCATATACAGAATCCAGATTGAGTAAAACGCCAGAACATCCATATGTATTGGAAGCAGGCCACATCCCTTAGAAATTCCCTTTCAATTGGTTGGTTGCTCATAGCAGATCTCATCATGGAGGTGATTATATCAGATCTCATCATGGAGGATGACTACATCATAACTGCCAAACCACTGAGAATCATGATCCAGTTAAGTAGACACACAATCTTAACTGTCACGGTTATCAGTTACAACAAAACATCTTTGCTGTAAAGTGCGGCCTATACTTAATATACCCCAAAAATCAAAACCACTGTCATTGAGTTGATTCTGACTCATAGAGACCCTATAGGACAGAGTAGGACTGCCCCACAGGGTTTCCAAGGCTGTAAATCTTTATGGAAGGAGAATGTTTTCATCTTTCTCCAAGGAGTGGCTAGTAGATTTGAACCGCCAACCTTTTGGTTAACAGCTGAATGCCTTAGCCAGTGTATCACCAGAACTCCTTCTCTTTAATATAACTAAACAAAAAACAAACCCAAACTCACTGCTGTCAAGTTGATTCTGACTCATAGTGGCTGCTCCTTGGGTTTCCAAGGCAATATTTCTATGGAAGTAGATTTCCCAGTCTTCCTTCTGAGGAGTGGCTGGTGGGTTTGAACTGCCAGTCTTCTGGTTAGCAGTCATGTACCTTAGGCACTATGCCACCACTGCTCCCTTTCTTTAATATAGCTAAGCTATTAATTATGCTGAAAATTTCCATTTTTTCATTACTTTTTAAAAAGTAGAGACTGAAACTGCTGATTTTAAAAACATGACTTCTCTGATTTAAAAAATCATTCATTTTCTTTCTTTTTAAATGACTTCAGGAATGAGCTTGGCTATGAGCTTTTGGCATAATAAAGGTAGATATTTTTCAGAATACTCAGAAATAATGGGCTTTTTGCCCTAAGAACATCTGTGTTCTGTAACTAAAATAGTGCAAAGCCATAAAAAGGGAAATGGGGGGAAAAAAATGAAGCAGATGTCTTTGAAATACAGCCTTAATTGATCTAATAGCTTTTCTGGTTCATGACTGAGGAGAAGAGTAAGCTGGAGAAAGTAGAATCACCCTCTGGTTTTAACCTTCTTAGTTTTAAGTTGTATGAGAATAAACTGACATTTTTTTAATGTGATGAATTGTCTATAACACAATTTTATTAAGATATTAATATAATTTAAATAAAATATGTATTGAGAACTTTTTTTTTCCCCCTTTCTCCTGACAGCTACCATTTTGTCCTGTGGATGGATTATTTATCTCACCTATTATAACTCTCGGAATGTTGGTCTTATTTTAACACTGGTTCTTAATAGATTATACAAACATGGCTATATTCATATTGGTAAGTTTCAGTAACACTGGGTTTTTTTTTCCTCCATATAATCTTGAGATTTATATTATAAATTTTGTTTTATAAACTGATGGTAGCTTTAGAAATTTAGCTCGGTTTAATGCAGGTTAAACTGGTCTAATTGGGGTTTTTCTTATGTAGCCAGACAAACTATCACTTGGTTATGTCTCTTACCCAATTTTACAGTGTACTATACTAATTGTTGGAGCTCTGGTAGCACAGTGCCTAAGGCATATGACTACTAACCAGAGGGTTGGTGGTTCAAATCTACCAGCTCATCTACAGAAGCAAGACTGGACAATCTACTTTCATAAAGATTTACTGCCTCAGAAAGCTAATGGGGGTCACTATGAGTTAGAATTGACTCGATGGGAGTGGGTTTAGTTTTTTTTGGTTTGTAGTAATTGTTAGCTTTTCAGTTTTTGTTTTGTTTATAAAAGATGCTTATTTAAAAAATTTGAAATTGAGACATATATGATACATAGAAAGAGGAATTTCTTAAGATTCTACCAACCAATTTGAATCCTTTATGTAGTTTCTGCTATTTATTAACCCGTATTTAAAAAAGAACCCCTAAGTATGCAATTGTCATTGTGTTACATACTTATTTTATTCTTTAGCCTAATTTATTAATATTTAATTCTACTTCATGGGAAGGCAGTTACCTTATTTCTGGTTCCTTATAAGCTGGAAGTTTGTAGGTAGATAGGATAGTGGACACAACTAAAACTTCACTCAAAGATAAGTAGTCTGCCACTGGTTTGAGGGGATAGCTGGTTCCTGGAGTCACCCAAATTAACAGAATGAAATGGTGAGTTAGTTACTGCTTTGAATTAATTTAGTGATTGTGCATAATTAAGTGACTTATCCAGACAAAGCAACTACTAAAAGTAATATTCTCATGTGGTTTCCTAGCAGCTCATTTCAATAATGATGATAATAATGGCACTTGTTAATACATTTGAAAAAAGAAAGAGAGGAAACAGTGAGGCTGTGAGGATATCAGAAAGAAAGTGGAGAGAGAACTTTTCATTATTGAGTAATTTGAAGAGGAAGATTATTTTAAAGTTTAAGGGCTCTACTATCTATCAAAACAATTATATTAATTGCTCTTGTTTTCTTCTATAACAGGCTCCTTCTCTTTCTCTGTTCTTTCTGGAAAAGTTATGGTTCGTGAAATCTACTACATTACAGAAGACATGTCTATTAGGTAATAAAATAAAAAAGAAGAGCCCATCTTATTAAAAGGCAATCTTGAGATATTAATAAAAATTTGTTTATGATAAACTTAAATATCATTTGCTTCTTCAAATAAAAGTGTAAATTAAAAGTCATCTTTTTAGTAATAATACCTGGTGAGTTGATGTTTTAAAATGTTGTTATCAAAGGATTAATTTAGCTAAGGTTGGTTGTTGTTGTTGTTGAGAAGGTTTAGAGGGCAAAAGTTTATTGAATAGTACCTTATAAAAATGAATAATGATCTCATTTCATTCCTAAATGAAAAACTGAACCATTAAATTATCTTGACAATTTCTGTTGTAGACCACACAGTAGTCATTTGTTATATAAAAGAAGAGTAAGGGATGTTAATAGATCTCATCCATTCACTCCTTATTAGAGATAATCACAATTTAGAGTTGTTTACCATCTGTTAAGAACTCTAATTTTACTCATAGGAGGAAATATGCATAATGAGAAATGATAATTAATAACATATTTGAAGCCTTGAAACAAAAGCCTACTGTATTTTTTATGATTTTTCTTACAATTTGTAACCTAGATAGAATATGAAATTTTTTTATTAGTTGAGAAGTGCCAGGGTTTGGCAATACCTATGCTGTGGTAGCATAGTGCCTAAGGCACTTGACCGCTAACCAGAAGGTTGGCAATTCAAACCCACCAGTCACTCCTCAGAAGGAAGATGGGGCAATCCACTTCTCGTAGTGGTACTGCCTTGGAAACCCAAGAAGGGGTTGCTATGAATTGGTTCTGACTCGAGAGCACATAACAACAACATACCTCCTTTGAAATGTTAGGAATCAACTTTGGTGCAAGTCTAAATTATTTCAAAATGGACACTAAAAAGTTAAGAGGCTGTAGTCCACTCTTTTGGGACATAAGGTGATAAGTAATGTACAGAAATGAGGGAATAACTTTACAAGTTTCAACTTAATATGCTGACATCCTCCTCTCAGTATTTGGCTTATTGTTTACATAATTTTTATGCCATTTGAAAATATTACTTAAAAAAGAAGGTTCCCTGATAGCACTTCATTTTCCTGTTAAATGCAATCTGGCATTAGATTTTACCTAATTAGAATAATCTAATTTAGAGCTATGTAAATCCTCTTTTACTTTTTCAACCTGATGGTTATGAAACATTTTTTATATCCCTTAGTTCTTACGGTATGTATATATTTAGGTACGTCGATGTCCTTTTGTTTATTTTATATATTTCCTTATTCATTATCAATTAACTGCCTTTTGTAATAACTAAGAAATAAATTGTTACATAAGTTCTTATATTTATAATTTACTTTGCTTAGAATTCAAGATGGATTTATCATTTTTCGGTGGTGGAAAATGTATAACCCAAAGCAAAAGCAACATGGTGAGTTTTTATTTTTTTGTGCGTGTATTTAAAATGTCCAGTCACATCATCAGAGTTTTTAATTATGGATATTGAAGTGTTTCACGTTTTTTATGGATGAAAATATTTTTAAAAGCTCTGAAGTTTACAAAAGCTCTGAAGTTCATCACCATTGTGCTTAAAATCTTTCAGTAGTTTTCATATTGCCTGATTAAGGACCTCTGGCGATGTAGTGCCTAAGGCATTTGACTGTTAATGAGAAAGGTGGCAGTTCAAACCCATCAGTCACTCTGTGGAAGGAAGACTGGGCAATCTACTTCCGTAAAGATTTACCACCTCGGAAACCCAAAGGGGACGCTGTGAATCAGGATCAACTTGATGGCAGGGAGTTTGAGTTTTTATTTTTTTTTAAGTTTAGAATTTTCAGCCTGTTGCTTTTGTTTTGGATTCCCTTCAATGTGACCCCCTACTTAGATTTTCAGCCTTATACCAGTTGCCATCACATCATTTCCAACTCATAATGCGTCCATGTGTGTGAGAGTAGAACAGTGCTCCATAGAGGGTTTTCAGTGACTGAGTTTTTGAAAGTACATCACCAGGCTTTTCTTCTAAGTTGCCTCTGGGTAGAATAATACAGCCAGGCTTTCAGTTGGCAACCAAGCTTGTTAACCATTTGCATTACCCATGGAGTTCACATTTCCAATTGTTGTTGTTGTTATGTGCCGTCGAGTCGACCCTGACTCCTAGCGACCCCTCCTTGGGTTTCCGAGGCAGTATTACTACGGAAGTAGGATTGCCCAACCTTCCTTCCGAGGAGTGGCTGGTGGGTTTGAACCGCCAGCCGTCTGGTTAGCAGGCAAGTGTCTTAGCCACTA